ATATATATATATATATATATATATATATATATATATATATATATATAGTTATATATTATGTGTATATTAGCAGTATTAGTTTTTTACTTAGCCTCGCTCATCTAACAGCATACTCAGGCGTCAGTAGGTGTCGTAGTATTTGATGGAGATGTAAAGGTCACAGATGTTTTTCACTTATTAATGTCAAATGTATATGAACCATGTGTGTGTGTTATAGCCGTTTTGGTTGGACAGAGTGGAGCTGCTGAAGCCTGGAGCTTTTCACCTGATAAACTCAAGGCCCTAATCAAGGAGGCTGCAAGAGTTGTCTGACCTTGCCTCTGATAACCATTATATATATATATAAAAAAAAGACTTCTTTATGCTCTCTTTGAGCAGACTTGTGAGACTAAGCGACATGCAATATTCTTGATGCTTGTTTATTCAATCTGCTCCATCTTGCAAGATTAAATCCTGGGTTAAGAAAATATCTTCTCTTTCCTGTGTGGCTTATTTATTTAATGAGCTATGATGGGATAATTAATTAAATTATCTAACAGTATTTATAAAAAGATTTTACTGCATGCTGACTACTTATTCCAGTCAGTTAGGTCAAATCCTTATAAGCCTCCTTGCTTTAATTTTCAGAAGAGTAGAAACGGTTACATTTGTGGTAGCAAAAATTTAACTTAATTATCCCACACATAGTGGTTTCATTGTGAGAATTTAAACATTTCAAATCATCTAAACAGGTCATGGAGAAAGAATCATGAAAAACTAATGAAAGAAAAAATGCTGCATTTTGATAAATTTATTTATTCCTGACAGCAATAAGATTCAGTCAGGGTTTCATTTAGTGAATTTTTAAAAAAATAAATAAAAACTCATAATCCGTGCGGTTTAGGTTCTAACATTTTACATCATTGTTTATCTATTATCAAATGTTTTCTTTTTTTTTTTAATCCATGTTCTATCCTTATCATCACTGTTATTTTCCTGAATGTAAACTTTAGATGTTTAATAGCATTTTGTTTTCTAAATTCAAATTTATGACTTGGGTTATACGACAGGCAATGGATAATGTTTTTTTTAATTATCAAAATATGCTTAAAAATAATGAATATTAATGAAAATTAAAGTTAAAGAAAATAATGTGGGACTATATAAACTTCCACATTTCTTAATGGGAGCTGGTGTAAATAGCTTCAAATTTAAAGTATTAATGTTAAAACCTGTATACACAGTTTTTTCAAATTAGAATAAAGTTATGGAAACAGTTCTTACACTCAGCGTTCTCTATATTTGTGCCGTGCCAACAAACAACAAAAAAAAACTACTCCCTTCTGACCACTGAACTCCAACACATTCCAAATGTATCTAACGCCAGTTTATTCCCAAGTATTTTGTGTTAAATGTGTTTTCCACAACTTTGATTAGAACATTTTTAACATAAACATTTTTAATAACTATTCTGAGCGTAAGCAGAAATTAGACACACGACTGATTCCTCCCTTTACAGATAAAATTGGAGCTTTTTGATATACAACATTCTGACCTGTGGAAGCTCAGTGCAATAGTATGTACAGAAAAGTTCATATAACTACTCAGTAGTATCTGGAATATGATGCCACATTAAGATACAATTCTTTACTCTTTAAAATATGTGCACTGTGGCCTGAGGTTTGCATGGTGACTCCAGACCTCAGATATTTTCCATCTTTAGTCTCATCACTGCTGCATACTTCATCTTCTGCCTCAGGTTAGTGTCCTCCGCAAGTCTCCAGGAAATGTGGAGGTGAACGTGACATTTAGGAATTACAGTCACTTTACAGTCATTATTCTACTGGTTCTGTTCTGCGAGCTCTCGGGCTTCCTTCACGAGCTCCATCAGGGTGGAGAACATGGAGATGTCAGTCGGCTGAAGGCCCATTTTCTGAATCTGAGACACACAACAGCAGAGTTATGGCAACAGTCTGTATCTGGATTAATAATGCATTTCTATTAGTTCCGTTTGTGCACCGAGGCATACCTGTTCCCCCAAATACTCCACATCCAGCGCCAGCTGAAGCCGAATCTTGCTGTCATCCGACGGTCCACCATTAGCCCCTGTTGTGGTAGTCGCAGCTGCACCCTTTCTGGCTTGCTTTAAACGCTTCAGACTCTCCTCCATCTTTTTCACTGATCTCAGAACCTCTGAGATGGTCTCGTAGTACCTGAACACAAGGTAGAAAACAGATGTGGAAGCACATTTTTCACGGAGATGGTAAGTGAAAATGCAGTTATAATTAACAGCACACTTTGGGTACAGGACAAGTTTGGATCTATGTATTTATTTTTTATGAAGCCGTTTTTAAAAACTTACTTCTGTGTACAGTCAGACAGTGCAACTCGCAGCCATTCTTGTGCTGTCTGGGGAGTAACCAGCCCTGTGGAGTCAGTCAGCAACTGATGTAATGGCTTTAAGGCGTTATCCATATAAGCTGAAGCACGCACAGGAAGATCCTGCACAGGAGAGAAGTCTGATGTTGAAGGCCTACATTATTTGTATTTTTTATACTTAAAACAAGTACTTCATTTGATTGTTACAGATCGTCTTTCAGGAAACCTTTGCTTTGGAAATGCCAAAAATGTGGGCAAAACATTTACAATTAAATGCAAGTGAAACACTTCCACTTACTTTATTTGTCCTGCGGTAGAGTCTTGGAACCTCAGAGGCACTTTTCAGGAAGCGGCAGCAGCGTTCAGTCAGATGCTGCGTCATCCTGGTGTTCAATAAAGGAGCACTGGCTGACAGGCAAGACTTGGAGTCCGCCAGAGCATCTGAGGTGAAAATAAAGTGATTGTAAATATGCAAGAGCATACAGTCTGGGCTGTCTTCAATTAAAGTATAAAGGAAAAGTAAACAATCAAATGAACGAGAATACTTCACAACCATATGGCCTTCTATTGCAATTTCCATAAAGATGTTTACATTACGTCACTAAAACTAGCATTTATAATCGTATCACATCCAAAAATAAAAACCCAGGCCATGCAACACTCACTGAAGATAACCAAAGATAATAGTAATTCTGAAGTTATTTTTCACTTACTGTTAATTACCACAAATAAAATAAAAAAATGACAAGAAGAACAAAAAAATGCCACAAAAGAAAAAAAAAGTGTATTTTTCATATAAACAACTTACTTTCAATAGCAGCAAAGTTCTTGAATTCAATGGCTTCCAACCTCTGCCTGACCATCTCTGACAACTCTGGAATCTAAAAGAAAAATTGCAATCGGAGTGAAAACGATGAAGAGAAAAGCAAAATACTAAAAAACTATTAAAACAGCAAATATATTTTTAGATAATAAAAAAAAACGAAATTTAAAAGGTAATGTGTAAATATGTTTTATTCTCCAATACATTATAAAACACAACATAACTTGATACAGATCTTCCCAACTTTATTTTCCCATAACAGTATCATCTTAACATGAGGAAGATTGGATTTTGATTTCCTCAGACCTCCCCTGTGTGTTTAGAACATCACATTGACCTGGCAACAGAAATCGTAATCATTTCTCATGAATGCAGTATAAAATCCATGTGCACAAATGATTTGTGTCCTGGCTCAGACAGAAGCAACTTTAAAGAACAGGGAAGTTGTAAATGTGTGAGCTGCTGCAAAGACACTATTGTTCACGCCTACAGGTGATGGATCTTTCCAAACAATCAGCAGACTGCAGTGTATCAACACCTCTATAAAATCCATCCATTATTTTTACAAGCCATTTCCTTTACAGGTTGCAGGGTGTGCCAGTGCCTATCACCAGCAGTCGCAGTGCGAGAAGCAAGGTACACGCTGGACAGTTCACAATAGGACCGCATGAAAACAAATGAGACAAACCATTCACTCTCTCACTCGCATATAGGGACGATTTAGCTACCAATTACTCTAACATGCATGTTTTTAGTCAGTGGAATGAAAGTGGAGTGCCTCTAGAAAATATTTTTATTTTCATTGGCAATATAAACAATTGTATCTTTTACATGGTTCTAACTGCACTGCAAAACCAAAAAAAAACATGCTTAATCATGTAAAGAGGAAACCTATAAACAAACTGGAGCTTTCGTTTTAAATATGTGTTTTAAGAATATAGGTGCGTGCATGCGTGTACCTGCTCCTGATGCTTCTGGATGTCAGCGGCGATGTAAACCAGCTGTTTGGTGGACAGAGAGGCAGGACCTCCGCTCTCACTGCCTCCCTCATCTAGTGATGTTCGGCTGGAGGTGGAGGAGGCCGAGCTGGGCAGCGGCCGGACTGGCTCCTTCGGCACTTCAGGGGGCGGAGTTTTTGTCAACACCTGTGCAGACCCAGATCAGCATGACAATTAAGAACAAATAATTACAGCTTGCAGTTAATTTGTCTACGCCAGTATGAATCTTCCGGTTAACACAGTAGTGTACTTAATTTTGACAAAATAGCATGAGACTTGCAAATATCCTTTTTAAGTTAGTAATCCTTGCTTGCTTATTTCACTTAGTTGAGTTTACCTCATCAAGAAACTTGGCATATCGCGAGTACAGCTGCAGAGTCAGTTTCCAGAAGCGATGGGCCAGAGGTGACAGATATACCTTGTCAGACCAGCACTTCACTAAACAGGTCCATAAAACCTCAGAAACCTGCAAGTGGTATGCACTACCAGCTGGAAATAAACAAAAACATAGTAATTATAAGAAACTGAATTGGTTAACAATTACATTTATGATAAAGCATAAAATCCTACCTGGTGCTGCCTCCAATCCATCACTTATGGCATTCTCCAAGCACCCAGCTATTTCCTTGTACCTATAAAACAAAGTGAGTCATACAAGAGAGGACAGAACGATACATTATCAGCTTGCTACAAATAGATGCAAACATGCTTAACAACATGCACGCTTTTGACTTTCTGGTAGAGCTGATCTGTGGAGGTTTGTGCTGTAAAATGGGGACATAAAACTTAAGTGCTTTGACGTACAACAATGAACCTGCACTTTGTGTATTTTACAGTGAGTGTATCTGTAAGGGTGGTGGGGGGGGGGGGGGGGGGGACAGATCCAGATCCAGGGCCATTCTGACAAGGTCTAGTGTCATGTTTATGTTTAGTAATGCGCTGACACACAAATTACATTTTGCTTGGAGTCATCAGCTTTCAGAAAACTTACAACCACAAGCAATTTCCTAGATTCCTGTAAAAAATGATCTTTGATCAAACTGTGAGCTCCTGCCAAGTCATCTTTGTCTAAAGAAAATGCTGACAAGCTGCTGTTTTAATATGAGCTCGGAAAAAAAAAAGACGCATCAATTCCACAAAAACGTGCAGGGATTCCACTTACCGTACATCTGACTGTATTTATCAGAAACTGACAACTTTTATGTTTATCATGCTATGCTAAATAGTTCTTTACTCTTTATACTAAACATACAATAAAAATTTAAGCACGCATTAAACCTCTAGAAATGTTCCCAAAAAAGATGCAACTTTGCAATAATCAAATGAGCGTTTAGAAAATTAGAGGAGTAAATAGAAAAGCTGGTATATTGGTCTAGTTTTGAAGATAGCACACAAAAAATACTGTTTATAGTTGTAATGACACCTCAACAAATAAGGGAGCCTTTTCATTTTACCCATAGATTGTAACTACATTGGAAGTGGATTTAGTTTAGTTTTTGAAGACGCCACAGTTTCCTATCAATAAATGCCAGAGGATATCAGTCTGCAGTCTTTATGTTTTGGTAGCTGTATCACAAGCTTTTCCCGACGTGTCACTGAAAAAGAAATGAGCACTAATAGAGATAAGCTTCTCATGATTGGTGATGAGCCTGTAACCCTGATCTTTAATTTTAAGCCACTTGTTCTTTACGATTTAAGTACAACACTAAGTTTGAAGAGTCATAGAGGAGTTTGAGGAAGAGCTGAGATGTAGTCAAACCCAGATTACGGTAGCATTATTATTTATTCCATTCTGTTTCCAAATGTCAGCACGATACACCAAAAATACAGAACACATGGTGCAAAAATGTTAAAAAGTTTAAAAATATACAAATGATGATGTTTTCAGGAAGTAAGAATTGTCCAATAAGGATGTTCATTCTTGCTTAGTGTTTGTGTTGTGATGTTCCTGTTGAAAGAAGCAACCTCATAACTGAAACCTGGAACTTTAGGCTGACTATACCAGGCTCAGCTTCTATTTGTTTTGCCTGAGGGAGTAATATATAAATTGCAAAACAAATCAAAGAAATATTTACCGTAGCTGAAAGTAGACGGGCAGGTTCCACTTGTTGTTGAAGTTGGTGTATGAGGTGTGAGCTCTTAGTCTCTTCACACTGGCCTGTGAGCTGCACTGTCGCTCAAACCGTCGAACAAACTCCATACTAACACTGTAACGCTAAAATGTGACAAAAAATAAACAACAAAAAAAAAAACACACCTTGGAGAAACTACACAATTAAATTATGTGAGTATTTATATACACAACATGTTGACCGTTCGCACACACACACACACACAAACACTGTAGGTGTACCTCATAGAAGATATCTGGGTTTCCAGGGTTGAAGATGTATGCCAACCTTTCCTCTATTCCTTTAATCATCTCAGGCCACACCGAGTTCACCAGAAAATCATAACCTGGAACTGTGTCAGCTTTGTCACTAAGGAAAAGGCAGAATAAAATAAATAAATAAACAAATAAATCACACTTTTTCCACAGTTTTATTTAATGGGAAGTACGAGTTAGATTTTTTTTAAGCACTGTACCGGTGAGTATGCAAGGGGAAAAATAGTTTAGTTCATTTTTGTTTTCCAACAAAATAAATACAAAACTGTCTTCACACAAAATCACACTACAGTGGTCCCTCGCTACTTCGTCGTTTGTTTTTCGCGGACTCGCTCTATCGCGGTTTTTCAAAATAATATTGGACATGACACACAATTGGCCGATTGATGGATGAGGTGCATGATTGGCACGGAATTTTTATTTAAAATAAACGATAAACGAGGGACTACTGTATATAAATAATAAAAAAATATAACACCACTACTTTGTGTATTTTCACCTATCGCGGGGGTCTCTGGAATGTAACGCCCACAATAGGTGAGGGATCATTGTATTAAAATCCCCTCAAATGAACAGCATATTCTTTGAACTAATTGAATTAACGAGCTTCCATGATAAAAAAAATAATACCTGGATATAGCTCCTCCAGTCACCTCTCTTAGAAGTCTGCAATGGTGAGGAACAAACTCCAGCAGTCTGGTGTACATCATCTGGAGACCACTTGGATTAGACTTCACTACTTCTTCAACTATCACCTGAAAAGAGAAGAAGCCAGGAGGTCTCAACCATATTTTAATGCAAAGAAATCAATAATCAGCTGAAGTTCTGTTAAGGAAATGTAGATACATAGTGCAATTACTTGCCGTATCATTTAAAAAGTATATACATTTTCAGTTTTAAGTAACGGAAAATGTACTCATTGTTTGAACATATAAAAGTGTTTGTTATGTTTACCTGGTCCATGTATGGTTTGACCAGCACCTGTCCTACCAGAGCTTCAGCATCTCGTGTTTTGTCGATGGTGGCGTACGTCCTGAGGCAGTGACGCACCATGTCCACGTTGGACGTCTGCAGGCCCTCAATCAACAGGCCCTCCAGAGACTGCTGCAGCATGGAGGTGATCCCTGCTATGCGCTTTCAGAGCACAACAAACAAGATCAAGCAGATCAGAAACTGTTTATTTACAGTCAGTACATGCTTTTTTTTTTTTAATTTGAATAACACTCAATAAAAAAACAACACAGAAGTTAATTGACTGAGAATTATGATGGACAGCAGAAAGAAGTCAGTCCATAGAGTAAATCAGTGTTTCCAGCTGTCTGTCTGACTCCTTCACACTTACAGGTCTGACTTTGTCCAGCAGGGGCATGCCTTTACTTTGAACTGCATGGAACTGCAGCTGATTGAATTCTGTAGCAATTCTCTCCAGGATTTGACCTGCCAACAAGGGACTGGACAAAGACAAAAAGATGCTCAGTCATACAGATACTGACATCTTTTTTTTACTCATTAGCCCTCATGCAATATTTACCATCAGCACTTTACTATGTATTTAAAGTGAATGAACCTGGCAAAAAAATACCTACATTAACCATTTTTGCATAATAATATTGTTCAAAATAATAGTTTTGTCTGCTAAAAGCCACAGTTTAAAAAAAAATATTGAAAAAATTAATCACATAAAACCTACATTCATTGCATGATACAAGTAGATTCATTGTCTAGTATATGTATGCATATGGACTATGTATAGTTTACAGAAATGTAGTTTCCTCACCTGCTGATTTCAAGAGAATTGGATTCCTTTGAGTTCTGTGAATGAAGGATCTTCTCAATCTTCTCCACTGAGCGCACCACCTGAATTAACCTCAATACACACACCTGATAAACAATAAGGTATTTAAATCAGTCCACACATTGGAGCTGTTACAATTTGTTATTTAAGCTAGGAGACAGAAAAATTACTATAGTATTGAGAAAAATAAAAATACACACACAAAGCTTACCACTAGATTATGAAATTTGTAACTGACATCTAATGCTATACTATATAACAGTGAATTGTATGGATGGTTATAAAACTCTTCATACAGCATGATTAACATCAAACAGGACGAAGATGATTCACACCTTTTTTTTCTGTAGGTCTTCTTGTTTGGATAGCTGGTTATCAATAGCTTGTATCACTTCGCTTACGCAGGACCGCAAACTCTGCAACAAACAAACCTATGAAGATGCTGTGGCAAAACTAGATCAACGTTTTCCTGATGTATGCTCAATAATCCAGGTAGAAAAATCTAACAAAGTTAAGTCAGGTCATCTGAACGGATTAAAAAAATAAAAAATAAATAAAAAATTGTTGAAACATTTCATCTTTTATCCAAAAGACTTTGTCCGTCTGAGGAGATGCATTAAACTCAGTCTTAGACGGTGCTATTTATAAAACTGAGTTTAGAGCAGCTCCTCAGACTGACACAGTCTTTTGGATAAAAGATGAAACGTTTCAACAGTTTTTTATTTTAATCCTTCCAGATGACCTGACAATTTTGTTAGATCAAAGCTTTGTTACAGTGCATTTATTAAGGACACATACCATTACTTCTTCTCGCAATTGTCCCAAGGGCACTGAAAGTTGATTAAGGGCTTTGTCCATCCCCACCTGAGACCAAAAAAAAAATCAGATTAGGAGCAGTCAATTTGACACAAACACATTAAAACACTATGAGAGAACATATTAGATCTGCAACTCATATCATTAGATTATAGCATTTATGTAAATTGGAATTTTAAAATACTACTACTGACTGCTTATTATGAATTTCTTGACTTGCAAACATAACATGGAAATAAATTTTGCATTTTACCATCGAACAAGAAATTTTGATGACGTTATTATTAAACACAAGATAACTTCAGAAAATATTTGAATCAATTTCAACAGGGAATACAATGATAACACAATATGGGTTTATTTCTAAAGTGGTGTCTTGATTTATAACTTTTTACTACTAGTGTAATTGTACCATTTTCTGGATGCAAAAAGTAAAAATTACAACAACACGTAGAACAAGCGATAATTTCTCAGGGTTGCTGTGTCACCCACATTCAAGTCTTTGTCTCACTATCAGAAGAAAGTGGTGTTTTGTCAAGGAACTTCTTGTGTGAGTTTTAGTCTCCTCACTATTTACAGTATTTTATTTATCAAAACTGCCCCTCATCCCTCTGCATCTGTCAGCTAAACGTTTGGATACTTAGTAACCACTAACCAGGTTGGTGGAGAGGTTCACAAAGTCTGCATAGTCCTTGTTGATGAGCTCCACCATGGCTGTTTTCAGCAGCTTGTAATACAGTTCCAGGTCCTCTCTCATCTCCTCCAGCTGCACCTGCTTTCGACACTCAGCCACAAACTGGTCCACATCAAAGTCATCCTGCAGACAGAGAAATATACCATTTATGACACATCATGATGAAGAGAAACGCTGTTCAAGAAACTCTGGGAGCATTTCCTCTTCTCTCAAGACGTGTTCTGACAAAATTATGTGTTACTCTATAAAACGGCAGCTTTATGGACTAAACATACGAATTCACTGACAGATAAGAATGTCTCAAGTAGTAAGCATTGAAATAACGTCAACTACTTTAAGCTAAGTTTGACTACAGCTAACACTAGCTTATAAAGATAAAGCAGTTTTGACACATTCTCACCTTCATGAAAACATCTTTGTCGAAGCACAAGGAATCTGGTCCCTTTGGCAAATTCATTTTAGATTATTTAATAAACTAGTTACTATATTCACGAGATAAAAAAGGGCAACTTGAGCTAGCTACTGTGGCCAAGCTTCCGCAAACATGGCAATGCGTACCAGAGAAGAAGGAAGTGGGGGGAGGAGCTCGACAGCGCCCCCTACAGGTAGTGTCTTTTGTGTGCTAAGCTAAAACCGTGGGCAGCGGCGTGTCGTGGTTATTTGGAGAGTTGACCTAAAACATTTCGACTCTGGGTATTTAGTTCACTTTTTAAGTAATTTTAAGAATACTACTACTGATGTGGTGATACTGCATCGCTTCGATATGCGCCTGAACACAGCTCGAACGTAGATGCCTCCTTTGCTTCTGAGGCGTACGTCTTTGATTCCGCCATATTGGATAGGTCAACGTTAAAGAACGATCTCAGATCAGCTTTTTTGTTGTTCTTTACATGATCGCAGTGGAAAAATGCCGGTGTCTTGTGCAGCATTTGGCTGTAAAAACAGACGAACCAGTCTTAGCAAGCATCGAGGGATAACTTTTCACCAGTAAGTTCCTGTTAATGTTGTTTTGGTTAGTAAATAGGCTTTAAATTGCAACAAAAATGTCCTGTGTGCACCATGTGATTCTCAACACTACACCAAAATCACAGGTTTTTTGTTAATTGTATGCAATAAATGTGCTGTATGTTTGTGTATAAGTTAGTCTGACATGTACTTGTTTTTATTCAAGGTTTCCTAAAGATCCTGGGCTCAGGAAAGCTTGGATCCTAGTCGTTAGACGGAGGGACTTCAAGCCCTCTAATAAGACAGTTCTCTGTAGCAGTCACTTCCACGACAAGGATTTTGACAGAACTGGACAAACTGTTCGCTTGAGGGAACGTGTGATCCCGTCGATATTTGAATCACTTCCAGACCATCTGAAGAAGGTCAGTACACAAAAGATATCTTGCAGATATACTGGAATTAACACTGGATTGCATAATTTTAGTGAATATTTTACACATTTTTGCACTGAATTTGAAGGTGCCTGTAAAACCCAGATCAACAAGGACATCAAGACGTGCTGGTGAGCCAAGTAATGATCCTGTACCTGTTTCCAAATCTCCAGACCCTCCAAAACCTTCAGTGTCGGTAAGTATATCAAAGCCGTTCTTATCTACAGCCTTTTTACATCGCATAGATTTACTAGCTCTCACTCAACACATCTTTCATTTCACAGGATCATCATTATGCTCTTGATCCAGATCAAATCAAGATTAAATTATCTGAGGCTCAAGCCAGAGTGGAACACCTGGAGCGGCAGCTGAGAAATGCCAAAGATCGAGAACGAAGACAGAAACAAGCCGTCAAGTCACTTCTAGATGAATTAAAAAACACTGGAGTGATTTCTGATGAGTTTCAACTAAAGCTGATTGAGGATTCTGGTAGGTCTTTCCATTGGAAGGCTGAAAAGTACGGTGGCCCCGAAGTTTAAACCACAACTACAAATTAAACAACACCACTGCAAATTAAAAAAACACAACACCATTTGACAAAATCCAATTACATTTGAAAAAACACATTCTTCTTCTTTCGGCTTTTCCATCTTCAGGGGTCACCACAGCGAATCATCCTCCTCCTTCACACTCTGTCCTCTGCATCTCTGAAAAAACATAACATTTGAACAAAAGGCAATTTCATTTTAAGAAATACAGTTACATTAAATGAAACTGGAAGGGGTGGGAGGTGGGACCAGTGGGAAACACGAGACATCACTGATTGGACGACAGGGTGTTTGAACCTCCCACCTTTCCCACCTCTTCCGATTTTGCATAATGTTATTGTGTTTCATCAAATTTAATTGCATTTTTTTTAAATGCTGTTGTGTTTTTTGATTTGTATTTATGTTTTTTGATTTATAATTGCATTTTTTTTTTTTGTAGTTGTGGTTTAAACTTCAAGGCCGAAAAGCCATGTCCACACCGAGAACGATAACTATGGCAGGAACAGTAAAAAAGATGGTTAAAAATATTGTTCCAACTTAAGTAAATGAGAGCAGGAGCATAAGAAATTATTAGAGGCAAAAAAAATTTTTTATTAGAATATGTTTTAAGAGCAGTTTGTTGAATGATCGAATAGTGAAAATGCAGCTGGGATGCTCATCTCTGTGTTGTTTAAAATTAATATTTCCAAGGCTGCTTTGCATGGCCCATTTTATTCATGTTTGATTTGCTTTTTTTTTTTTCATTACTTTCTTTACCCCTTTTTTCATTTAAAAACAAAACTCTACTTTTTATATTCTCTAAACACAGGCTGAAAATTACACATAAAGTGTTCCCTTACTTGTGACGCAGAGTCAAACACTTTTTGTGCCAATGTTCTTTGAAGAAGATATCTACAACAGTTTTTGATCCTTTAAATTCACATTGGTAAGATTTGTGAATTTAAATATTTTTGTTTCACTGCGCAACCTCCATTTTATTTGGAATCTGTAGCCTGGTGTCATTGCCAAGCCTTCATTTTCAGATATGTGAATTGTACTTGTTGTTTTGTTGTGGACACGCATCAGATATATAAAGTAATGTTTACGTCACACTGACAAAGTGTTTAAGTACCAGATAATCATAAGTCAAAGATTTAGCTGCTAAAATTTCAAGGCAGTCTTGCTAATTTAACACCAAAATTCATGCTCAATAATCCAGGTATAAAATCCAACAATGTTCAGTCAGGCCATCTGGACGTTTTTTTTTTTTTTCTGAGACGTTTAGTCCTTAATCCAAATGTCTTCTTCGATCTGAGGCGTCACCCACAAACAAAACTGATTCCCACAAACAGCATACTACTCCATAGTGGAAAAAAAACAGTTTGTTGGTGCTAAGATGGCCACCGGGGCCTCCGAGACATTCACTTGCTAATTTAAGTTTTTCTGATTTATTTTCTGATGCTAGTTATTTGTGAAATTTCAACCCCAATTCTCAAAAAGTTGGGACATTGTGTAAAATGTAAATCAGAACACAGTGCAATGACTTGCAAATCTTGTAGACTCATATTTTATCATGTCAAAAATGATGGAACAGGGCAAATATAAAAGGACAATAATCAAGACAAAGGCACAAAGGTGTTTGTTTGTTTCTTTCTTTTACAGTTTACACAATGTCTCAATTTTTCCGAATTGGGGTTGTAGATGGTGGATTAATGTTGGCTTCATCTTTGCGTGGTGCTCAAAAAATATGATTATTTTAACCTTAACTTAATCAAGTTAAAGTCACTGTAATCAGGAAGATACTGCAAAAGGTAGAAAGAGTACTGAAAATTTGTATTCAAGTACAAGTTCTGTTCCACTGCTTAAATTGTACTCAATTACAAGTAAAAGTACTGGTGTTATAAAAAATACTTAAGTAAAAGTACAAAGTACTCTTCTCAAAAACTACTCAGAGTATTAATTACTTTTTAACCACTTGATGTTTTAGTGCGTTGTCAATAGAAGGCTTTCAGTTTGATTTACTGTATATAATAGTTATATTCAGAGCACAGTTCTCAGAAGCTCCGTCTTATTTTAGTACCAGGCAAACCGATGACAATATCTAAGATCTTTGCATACTTATCCAAACTAATAACCCACACAAACAAACAATAAAAAAGCAATATCATACAGGTAGTTGTAAAACCTCGTATACCGCAATATGTTTTTCGAGATTAGATACTGAAGCTGTCTCCTTTTCACCCTCTACATGACAAATTCCTCCAGGTACGGCCACGGGCACTAGTCCAGCCTTTACCTCGTCATTTTCTCTGTTGACAGTGTTGTCCTCTGTCTCCATTCTGGCTTTTTCTCCAAATCTTTGGACAATAAACAACTTCCTTCTCTACAGAGGTGTCCTTTGCTTACGTCATAGGTAATTGGCGCGTTCACGATCTGAGAGCCTTACTGAAGATGCAGATGAACGGTTTGAATATTAAATCAAATAGTGGTCGTACTCAGTAGCGATTTCTGATTTTTAGAAGTAGAAGTAGATTACCTGGTCTAAATTGTACTCAAGTATGACTAAAATTACACACTTGAAAGAAATACTCATAAAAGTACTACTTCTTCTTTCGGCTGCTCCCTGTGTTAGGGGTTGCCACAGTGAACTAAGTCGCACGAAGACTTGGCAGTTTTTTGGGGGGGGTTTACGCCGGATGCTCTTCCTGACACAACCACAGACCACCGAGCTACCACAGCCCTCTGTGTGGAGCAGAGAGCTTGAAAGAAAGAAATACTCATAAAAGTACAAGTACCCCCCAAAAAATTACTTAATTACAGTAATGTATTTGTAATTCGTCACTTCCACCTCTAGATACTGCTTATTAGATGGTGTGCATTTTGAACTAGATGTTTCTATATTTGATTAAATTAGTGTCCAAAATATCTAATTCCACTATCTGACAAAAAGTTTTTTTGTGTGTGTTTTTTTAGATGACTCATAGATTGTGACATCATGAAGCCAAAATCATTTTGAAAGGCTTCAAGTGACTGCTGAGATCAAGCAACTGGACAAAGACCAGGATCCAAGAAAGAAGCTTGATTTTTGTCTATTGGTTGTAATTGATTGATACAGGACAGCTCCAAGAGGTTTTTTGTTTATCTTCTTTTACACCTCAACATATATATCTCTCTTTTGTGAAAAAAATGACATATTTTTTTGTTGTTAAAGAAAAACCAAACCACTAGTAACAAATAGTTTTACTGGCATGTTGTACAATTATTTTGTACTGAATTTAATGGGAAGTTGCCAGTTTATTACTGGGTAGGGTTGTTGAGCATTAAACATGAGCAATAGTTAAAAGTGGAGGTCTGATTATATAACTAGCCACTGTAAAAGTGATCTATTCTTCAGCATTTTCAGCTCACTGATAGTGTTTCTTTTGGTTATCAAATGGTCCAGTTTAACATGTGATGAGATTTGCACAAATTTGAGGGTTTATTTGTGAAAATTCATTAACTATATATATAAAAAAAGATTACTTTTTAAAGTTTAAAATGATAAAAGTAGCATAGTGGTGAAGTTATTTATCAATATGATTCATGTGGCCTCATTAAAAGTCAATTCAATGATATGTTCACAAAGTCATCATCTCTTTTTTATTTTTAACTTTCTGTACATACTGCAAACAAAATGCTTCCAGAATTTCATTCTCGTTTTGTTCTGTTCCACAATCATCCAAAATTAGGTCATTGTTAAATGATCACTGAAATGTTCTGTACTTTTACTTCCAAAATAGCATTGTGTTATATTTTCACTTCATTAATTACCATGGATTGGGATTTTTAGGAATTTTTTTTCTTTTCGATGCTAAATATGATGTTCAGTAAAGATTTTCTTCTGACTATATTATGAATTAAAAAGAAAAACTGTTAGTATTTGATAATATGAAGACACTTCTCGTTTTCACATATCTGTTTAGTCAGTTAAACTTGGGATTAAACTATTTTGTTATATTTTTTATTGCAATACATGAACATCTTGATTTACCATGCATTTCTTGTACTGTGTTGTTTATATAATATTTATTCTGAGGTACTGTGTGGAATGAGTCGATCAAAATATTAATTGGAATAATAGAAATCAACATTTAAACAATTTACCGAGACGGTGTAGTGGCAGGGCAGCCAACTCCGGATCCGAAGGTCCTGGGTTTGATCCCCCGTCAATGCACATCTCATGGTGTCTCTGAGCAGGACACCTAATCCCGGATTGCCCCCCGGGCGCTTACATAGCTGCCCACTGCTCCACCTGGTTGTATCCCAGGTGCGATGGGTTAAACGCAGAGAACTAATTTCGTCTTTGTATGGGAACATAAAATTATGACAACACATAGAACTTTATTTATTCATTTATTTAATGAGAACTGTCCTGTTTGCAAAAGGATGACCTTTGGAGTGATCAGATAAACTGGATAATTTTCTCTCTTAGCTAAAGGTTTTTGTAATTATAAGATGGAAATTCACAAAGTTTTGTCTTGTTATATATTTTTATAGATTCAAATACATTCACCCCTAAAACTCCATACCAATGGTGGCAGTGTGATGGTAAATGGACTGTACTTATGTAGCACTTTTCCATCTTATCAATATACTCAAAGTACTTTACACTACAATCTGTGTCCTCATTTACCCATTCATACAGCACTCTACTAGATCTGTACAAAGCTAATTGAACAAATCATTCTAATGAGACTTATCAGTGCTTTATCACATTCATACCGATGGGACACGCATCTGAAGCAATGGGGGCCCAATGCCTTGCCCAGGGACACTTCGGCATGTGACTGCTGGTGGAGTCAAACCCCCAACTCTTGCACTGGATGACGACTGCTCTAACCCAATCCCGCCCTGCTTGGGACATCCTATAACTTGTGTAAATGAATAGATATGGGGCAACTGTGACTGAGTGGTTAGATCAGTTGTCCTCCAATGAGAGTTGGAAGTTTGATTCCACCAGTATGCATTCACATATTGAAGTGTCCATGGGCAAGATACAAACCCCACATCGCTTCCAATTTGTGTCTCATGGCCATGGATGTATGATGTGATCTAAAGCACTGTCTCCTCCTAGTTTCCTCAGATTAGCTATGTAGCGATGTAGTAGAGTTCTGCATGAACGTGTATGTGTAGATGGGTAAACGAGGGCACTGGTTGTAAATTTGAGTATCCTGATAGGATGGAAAGTCACTATGTAAGTAAAGTTAATTTACTATGTATCCAAAAGATAAAAATCGGGTTGGGCTTGGATAAAATGGCTACGGGCTGGGGCCAGGTTTTTATTAGTAATCCACTTAAACTGTCAAACTGGTTAGCATTTTAGTTGTGCTGTTTAATGCATTATAGTTTGAGATTTTTAATAAAATGCGCAATGACTTTGGAATTTTAGGGGCGGAGATTTTTGAGTTGAGAGATCCAAACAAACAGTTTCCGGACTGTCAAAATAAGAGAGTTCCCGGATCTGGATTGATTGACAGGTCGCATTGTTACGGCATACTTTATTTATTTATTTAGCGTGATCCTAAAGCTCCGCCTTAGTGATCCGACTCGTGAAAAAAAAAAAAAAAAAAATGAACGACATGTAAAAAAAAAAAAAAAAAGTCTCGTACGACTTTATTCTCGTAATACTACGACTTTATTCTCATAATTTTATGGCTTTTTTTTTTCTTAGCGTGGCCCTAAAGCGAGTTACCTTATTGATCGCATCATCTTTTTTTTTATTTTTATTATTATTATTTTATATATTTTTTGTGTGATGGTGTGGGCACTCTTCTGCTTCCATACATCCGTCGGATTTGGGGCAGAGCATGGGGTCTTATTGGCTGACGTGCTTCTGTGTATAAATCGCTTCTCTGTGAACCCGGATGCGTGTACTGCCCAGTGCGTAGCCTCGCAGGCACAGCGAAGGGGCGGAATTGTTTCCGGACGTGGAGCACAGCTACAACCTCCGCCTCCGGTTCCGTAAGTCCGGAAGGGCAGGTGCACCAGAATCTACAGCCAGCCAAGACAAGCGCAGGGTGGTGCCACATCCAAGGCTGCACCTCTCCCCGCTCCCGCAGGGTCGTGACTACCTGCACGTTAGAGTGACAAGACTGAGAGAGGAGGGGAACACGGAGGAGGAGAGGAGCATCACTTGAGGAGGGAGATGGCGGAATGCGGGCGGAAGGCGCTGTCTCTCCTGGAAGCGGCCCGCTCCCGGTATGAGAGCCTGCAGATATCCGACGACGTGTTCGGCGAGTCCGGCGACGACAGCAGCGACAACCCCTTCTACAGCACCTCGGGGGACTCCGACTCCGACAACTACATAGCGGAGGCGGGCGAAGAGGAGCAGCTGCACCACCACCAAAAAAGGAGGGACAAGGAGTGCGGGCACAGCGGGGCAGCGGGTGGCGGCACCAGCGGAGCGGGTCCCCCGGGCTCCCTGTCGCGGAGCCAGGCAGAGGAGGAGGGCTGGACGGAGACGCTGCAGGATGTCACGCTGCCGCCCTACAAGGAGACATACGGTGAGGCACATGAATAAGGTCATTTTTTTTCCGCGGGGGGGGGGGGGGGGGGGGGGGGGGGGGGGTGTGGAGGTGATTGGGCAGGAGTAGTCATGCAGGCTTGTCCACATCACAGTGAAAGCTAGTTTCTTTTCCACCCGCGTGCATCTTGGTCCATGTGGATGCTGAGTGATGGAGAGGAGGATGACACTGCATCAGTAGTTAATGGCAAACCATTTGCCTTTGATAGTCCCCCCCCCCCCCCCCTTTTTTTTTTTTGATGCTGTGGTACTGATGCTGACTTGTGTGTGATCCTGTTTGGATGCATGCTGTTACTCGGCACACTACACACTTAATTAAACACATTAAGCTCATCAACATCATTCTTAATTGCATAAATTCAAGATGCAAATCAAGTCTCATCACTTGTGCATGCAGGAAGATGGACTGTCATGTGCAGCGCTCCATCTGTCGTCCATCTCCTGTGGACTCGTCTCCACGGTTATATTGCTTTACAGCGTCAGAAGCAATAAGGCTGTGGTTGATATGAGCCAAAGCTCCGCTCTGCCCGTCCACAGCAACCTATCAAGTCTCTTACGAACATAACAAGGCGGCTCTGACACACGGTTAAAGTGGCAGGAAGCTGCTCCAGTGTCAGGGAAATGCACTGTACGTGTGTAGAGGGGATTCATTTCGCAAACTGTGCACTGGTTGATAAGAAATAAAAGAGCACATGGGAGAGTCTCTGATGTTGGAGCTGTATGACTCCACTTTGAAGTAAACTGGATTTTAAAAGAAAGCAGTCTTGTCTAACCCGGATTTAAAATCCCAGTGTGGTTTTAACTATCCAGAATAATCCGGCTTGTTGTCAGAGTTTCCTCCGTGGCACAGAAAGTTGCAGTCTGAACTCCTTCAGTTTAGTTTAGCTGCCTTGTTGCTACAGATCTAATCCAACAGGTGTTCTTTCTATGTTCTGGTTGGATTTGTGAAGAACAGTTGGTTTGTTTGCACATGTGCTGGCCCACCACACTGCGTCTGGGGTGGGGTTATTAAGAAAGCTAAAGAAGGATTTCACTCGTGCTGTATTATTTCTGTGTCCCTGGTCTTCAGTGTCTATCTGTGTACCTGTTTGTAGTTTTGACATCTCGACTCTTTGGACTCGGTGCATCGTGACCATAAATCATGAGCCTCAAATCTGTCATTGCGTAATCATCTCATTATGATGTTGGAAGGAATTAAACAAATTTATTCAGCATGTCTCTTAGATTACTGCCATGCACCATATGTCAGGTCATCTGTTTGACCTTCTGCTTCCCGCTGTCTGTGGTGTCCACACATTGCCACTAAAACATGCATTTATATATATATATATATATATATATTTTCTAATTTAACTCTATAATAGCCAAGCAGAAATACATTTTAGTCTTATCCTACCATTTACTTTAAAATGTTTACAAAAAAGGAAAACAAAAAAGTCCCGCAAAAAGCACATTCAGTCTAAAATCGTGCACAGACACCATTGCATTTTTTTTTTATTGGCATGTTGGGGAAAAATCCTGAATATATATATAGAATAAAAAATTTGATTAAAGTCTAAATGCTTCTAAATAAATTATATTTTTTAGTTTATCCACTAGGTCTTTTTTTGTTGTTGTTGTTTCTGACACAAAAATGGACTCCTTCATTTTATTTTATTATAATCCAGAATATTCCAGGGTTTTAACTCTTTAATTCAGAACAGACTGTTATGTAATAAGCTGAAGTTGTTCAAATCTGAAAAAAGGATTTGTGTGATGTAATGCATTGCAGTACAGCACTGTAAGGGATTTGACCCACATTACAGGAATATCAGAAAATTTATCTGGGAAAACCCTCTTAGCAAAGATGATCGGAGATCGCACTCGGATCCTGGACTTCCTTTTTGACTTCCGGTAAAATCCAAGCGAAAAGCATGTTCTGTGTCCTGTGGGAAGGGTTTATGTGCAGCATAAAAATCTCTGGCTGTTTAATCCCTGGGTATAAAAGCTCTAGACAAACACTTGTACCTCAATAACTGAAATAGATTGATTTTATATTGGATAATTTAGAAAGTTTGTATTTGGTTAATCTCTTGACTGAGTTTCGAAGATGTTAGCGGACATAAATATTATGTACCGTATTTTTCGGACTATAAGGCGCATTAAGCGAAACAAAATGGTTAAATAAGTCGAGCTTTAATCAACTCGTTCACAATAACTCTCAACATTGTTCAGCTGTACAGCATAAAATCGGTTTGAGGTCAGTAAACACAACTGATAGATAAAGCGCACTGGATTATAAGGCTCACTGTTGATTTTGGATCAAATTAAAGGATTTGAAGAGTGCCTTATAGTTACAAAAAATACGGTAAGTTCTCATCTTCTGTGATGGTTTAATCATTCATACAGTTCTTTCTCGGGTTGTATTTTAATTTAATTTAATTTTTTTTAGATATGAAGCATTTTGTCTTGGCTTTAACTCTGAAATTCGTTATTTATTTCCCATAAGTCAGGCTATAGGATGTAAAAAGAGTTGCTTTTGAGCCGTTCGGCAGTTTCTTTGGCTGTCGTCTCCGCGAGCATCAGCTGTGTGGGTGTGCTCCATTGTCTTTTTGTCCACCTCTCGCCCGCCTCCACACTTTTAACAACCTACTATTAGGAAGAAAACAAAAAATCTCTTGTGCTTATAATCTTTGATTCAACATCAAGTGACTGAAGTGATAGTCATTCATTATTTTAGCTGCAGAAAACCCACTCGGAAGCAGAGAAACGGGTGCGTGGAGCAAATGAAAACATCGCTCGTTGCCGTTCAGGGATAATTGGACCGCGAGTGTTCAGTTGATCTTGACATTGCTGCACTCAAAATCCAGATTTCTTTACAAGCTCAGAGGGAAAAGTGTCTTATTTGACTGAAGCGAACACAACAAATCACAGCACTGCGCGTCGACTGTGTGACCTCTCCGATCAGCTAAAACACTTCTTAAAGTCTCAGAGGTCTGTCTTGATGTAGGTCTTAATCACGTCATGGCCTCATGCTGACATCATCAGTAGGCTTGTCACAATAACAAATTTTGCTTGCCGATTAATTGTCTCAGAAATTATTGCAATAAACGATAATATTGTTTGAAATTTGACAGTAATTAGTAATTATTGTCAAATTTAAGAAGAAATGTTGGTTAATTTTATTTTGAATGTAGTTTCTTTTTTGACTACCGGATGGCAGTATAAGTCTGAACCTCGAAGGATGGATAGTGAGGGAGCGAGCAGCATGTCGCTTTAAGAAAAATGGGAGGGAGTCCCCTTGACGTGGCATGGGCTGTCTCTCCTTCCTTTTTTTTTTTTTTGGGCTCTCAAAGTGGTGGACGCTCGGTGTGGTTTGAGCTCTTTAGCGTAACATTTGTCACACAAAGCTTTTAATAAAAAATATCAGTAAACAAGTTCTCAGCTTGTTTTTTGCAGAGAAAAACAACTTCTTACTCGAAGGCGCTGGTTTCAGCCGTGAATTTTGGAGCTTCGACAAGACAGAGATTTTTTTTTCCCCGAGGTCGGGCTGTTAGCTTAGCTTCTTAGCTTAGCTGCTTTTAACGATCCAAAAACGCGATTTTGCACGGTTAAAATGGATTTTAAAGAGAAAAGAGAAAGGGAGGGGTCAGTGAAGAACACCAGAGTTGAGCCGTGTCTTCAGTAGAAAGAAGAAACGATAAAGCCAATAAATGAAAATGAGGTCGATCATTTTCTTTTATCATATGATTAATTGATTTACTGTTTATTGGGACAGGCCTAATCATCAATGTTGAGACCTCAAAAAGACGTGTAATTTTATTGTCACATAGACACAGGTGGACTATTGTTTATCCATTAAGATAACAGTTTGAACTCTTACACCTGTAGCGTTAACAGTAGGCCTGTCACAATAAACAATAAATCACTTAATCGCATGATAAATGAAAATTATTGACCTCATTTTCATTTATTGGCTTTATCGCTTCTTTGTGTCTCTCGTTCTACTGAAGACACTTGACGACACGGCTCAGTGTCGATGCTCTTCACTGACCCCTCCCTTTCTCTTTTCTTTAAAATCTATTTTAACGTCCAAAATCGCATTTTTGGATCGTTAAAAGCAGCTAAGCTGAGAAGCTAAGGTAACAGGCCAACCTCGGGGAAAAAAACCTCTGTCTTATCAGAACTCCAAAATCCACGGTTGAAACCCGTACCTTCGTCTAAAAAGTTGTTTTTCTCTGCAAAAAGAAGCTGAGAAGTTGTTTACTTATTTTCTTTTATTAAAAGCTATATGCGAAAAATGCTATGCTAAAGAGCTCAAACCACACCGAGCATCCGTTATTTTGAGAACCAAAGAGAGACAGCCCATGTCACGTCAAGATGCCGCCCTCCCATTTTTCTTAAAGAGACACGCTGCTCGCTCCCTCACTATCCATCCTTCGGTTCAAACAGTCTGATACTACCATCCGGTGGTCGAAAACAGGTACTACACACAAAACAAATTAAATATTTCTTCTTAAATTTGACATTACTAATTATTGTCAAATTTCAAACAATATTATCGTTTATCGCAATAATTTCTGAGACAATTAATCGCCCAGCAAAATTTGCTATCGTCAGGCCTAGTTAAAAGCACACCTTTTTGCTTGTAAAGTAAGTTTGTGTGCTTTGCGTGTTTGCCAATTCACCTGGGTTATAGATCTGTTTAAACAGTATTCGTCTCCGATGTCTTTCCATTGTGCCTTCATTTTGATTCGGTCTATATAGGAGGATGATTTTGGCTTACTTCCTGCCATAACCGGAAGGCAACAAGATTCTGAAACCTTCTGCGGGCAGGGAGATGTCATTCTGTGATGAGCATCACAGCATGGCGGCTGTCAAGTCGTGTAAACTTTCCAACTGTGGCCCTGGGCTTCTGACATTCATACCAAAAGCTGCTGTAGTTGATTCATTTAATGAAAATAATTTAAAAAAGAGATAAAGAACAGGAACTTGTTATGATGCTCTGTTTGCAACACTTTTAAAATGACAGTGTAATTTCTGTGACAGCTCCACAGAATCTAATTTTATCCTGCCTTTGTGTCAAAAACACAAAACTTTGATTCAGCAAGGTCAGCTAAACTAAATGCTTTTTAACGCTCTGAGTCAGGATTAAGTGACAGTTTTGTCTGCCCTCGTGAGACTTATTTTTCTTCTGTCAATAAATCTTGTTGTCTTGTATTTAATTTTGTAATTTCCTTTACTGTAATATCTCTTACAATTTATATTTTGCTATCGTTGAATGTAACTGGAACTCTGTGTTACACAGTTTTGTTCCACCTCATGTACCACATGTGATGCGAAGGACAATAAAGGCCCTTTAACTTTGAATATTTTCATTGCTTCGTTTTGGTTTTTATCCTTTCCTCTCCTTCTTTATATATTTTTTCATACATGTTAAGTTATAGTCCAAACCCTTAATTCTAAAAAAAACCAAAAGACCTGGTCTCAAACAAAAATATAGCTACTGTAGTCATTTCATATGATTATATATGTAAATAAATAATAAATTAATAAATAAAATAAAAAACATTTCACACCTGGTATACTCTATTTATGATGTTGTCCCAGAGAGAGAGAGAGAGAAAAACCCAACAAATCTGGTTTGCCTTTGACACGATACATACAGTAATTTAATTAAACTTAATTATGTTTTGGATTAAATGGAATTAAATTATATCATTTTCCGTCTGTCAGTAAATCTAGTTATCTTCTTTAATGTAATATTTCTTTTCTTTTTAATCCTTTCCTCTCCTGATCCAGGCCCCACTCAGAAGATGCCAGACACAGCCTCCGCCTTGGACTTCTTCCAGCTCTTTGTTCCAGACAACTGCATCCAAAACATGGTCACCCAGACGAACATGTACGCCAAGAAGTTCCAGGAGCGCTTCGGCTCCGAGGAAGGCTGGTGTCCTGTCACAGCCCAGGAAATGAAGGCCTTCTTGGGCTTCGTCATCTCCACCAGCGTGCACCGCTGCGAGTCGGTGCTCAGCATCTGGAGCTCGGGCTTCTTCAGCAACCAGAGCATCGCCTTGAAGATGAGCCAGTCCCGCTTTGAGAAGATCCTCAAGTACTTTCACATCGTGGCGTTCCGGCCGTCCCAGGGAAGCAACCAGGGCCTTTACAAGATCCAGCCTTTCCTGGACTCGCTGCAGCAGTCGTTCAGCTGCACCTTCAGACCATCACAGACACAGGTGTGTACAAGTCTCCAGACGTGGCTTTTCTCAAAGCATCTTCTACTATTTTTAGATTGCATGTTCATTCTTTATTTTCACATGAATCTTTACTGACCTATATTGTCAAACTGATGCAGTTGCTGCAGCATCAGGGGTGTCGGCGTTTGAAGATTTCAGCGTTTTATCAGAACATTTTTTTTTATATAAAGGACTGACTTATTGATTATTGAGCTTTATTTTGCTTCAAATTCAAAATCTGTTCAGGAAACGCTCCCCCTTGTTGCCATTCATATTCCATCTGTAAGGGTTTCCACCCTTCAGCCACTGCCGAGCTATAAAAAATTAATGGAAGCTTCTGGAAATAAGTTGATTCATTTGCTTTTCGTTGGCACAGCGGCTGTAAGGTCATCCTCGCTCTGAATGATGTCACTCACTGCTTCGATTGCATTTAGGAATTCAATCTCCTACAGCAGTCTCCTGCTTTATAACTTGTAAATCTACATTAGTTCATCAGCTTTACACAATAAAAATTGTTGAGTTATTTTGTGATAAGCTGCAATTTCATGCTAAAGATTGCAACTCCTATGCATTAAGATAATACAAATATGAGGGGAATGTCAGTAATTGGTAGTAAAAGCAAAATGTTTAACTTATTATTGTGTTCTTTTTATGTTTCTAGCTTCTTTCAAGGGAAATGAAAGATTTAAATGAACGTATTTCAGTTTTGCAGGCAGCTAAACCCTGTAATCAAAGCCTTGTGTCATAAAAGGGTTAAAGTGCCACACTGTGGTTTGGGTGATTCATCCATTCATGCCTCATTAATATTGGGGTTTTTCATAACTACCGGTATGTTTGACTTGGAAATGATGCGTTGCTATAGTTTCATCAGTAGAACTGAACTTTTGATCAATGCTCAGTTGAGCAAATCATAGAAAAAGGAAAAGGAGAAGAAGCTTGGACATGTCCAGGATAACAAAAACATAAAATCTGAATATTGGTTGGGTTTATATATCTCTAAATTTTTAAATGCTAGTTAGTTTTTAAGTAATTGTTGTTGAAGAATTTGTCCTTGCTATCTAATGTGAATATAGAAGAAAATATCAGTGTGTCTACATTGATGTCATCTGTTTTTTGTTTTTCTGAATGAAAAAAAAAAAGATTATCTAACTTGGTTTGTCACAGTAAATAGCCATACTTGAGTTTTTTTTTTTAACAATATAGCCATAGTCTTTGGCAGCACGACAGCTCAGTGGTTAGCACTGTTGCCTCACAGCAAGAAGGTCCTGTGTTCAATCCCCGGTTGGACCTGGGGTCTTTCTGTGTGGAGTTTGCATGTTGTTCTCGTGCATGCGTGGGTTTTCTCCGGGTGCTCCGGTTTACTCGCACAGACAAAAACATGCATGTTAGGCTGCCTTCAGATCCAGACTTCAGATCCAGACCTTCAGATCCAGACCTCCCTTGCAAATGAGATCTATGATCTCAATGGGATTTGTGTAGTGAGTCACGTGAGGTACGTGTCACTTGTTGTATGACAAATATATGAATTATATATGCATACAATATTCACGAGTTCTTCATTTTTCTGACTGTAAATGCCGTGCATTGAATTTAACAGAAATGTGAACGAGAGACGTTATTTATCTTTGACCCATCAAATGAATGGAATCATTTATTTTCAAAATCAAAGTTTAACATCAAACATTTACATTAATTTGGCAAAATATGAAAATAATAACAGACAGTTTCACAGAAAATGAACTTCAAATCACTCGGCGGTGATTTGAGGACTTTGCTTAAGATATTTCTAAAATATCTGTACTGATTTATGAGAGAGAGGTGGGTTTTAGAGTGAAAGGAGATTATCTTACAGAGAACTGTGTGAGGGAAGTTTAATCTGTTTAACCAGAAATTGCACGCTTCGTCAGATCCTCAGCCCGTCCACGGTACACTTGAGTCGAAGAGGAAATCTTTACCTGGTTTGACGATAGATCAGCTCAGTAAGAGTCCTTCAGACTGTTTCAGCGCCTCCGTTCAGAACAGCTAGAAATCCTCGGAGAGTCGTGCGTGGTTAGTTCAAACAGAAGTATAACTCCAAACTCTTCATAACCGGTTGCATCTCTCAGAACTCTCATTCTCTTGTCAGCTCTCATTCTAACATCTCCCAGAACCCTGTTGAACTGAGAAGTTGCCACATTTTATTTGGGTCGACTTCCTGTTCAATTTAGAGCTTTCTGATTCGTGGAAGGACCAGAAAGAGGAGTGGATTTGTGACGTAAGATGTTATCATAAGTCAAGGATTGTTTACAACATACAGAAAAGATTATTGCAGCAACAGCAGACTTCGTGGAGTCTCACACTTTGTAATCTTTTCAAATGTTAAAACATGACATTTTTCTCGGTAAACATTTTAGTTGACCGAAAACCAACCTTTAACATACTTACGACAGCTTGCTCATTTCAGACAGAAAATCAAGAAAGGCATATTCAGGTGATTTCTTCTCTGAATGAGGAACAAAAATCATTACTTACTGTTTATGTAAAATAAAAATTAGTAGTTCTTTTCAACCTGTAAAGCATTGAGTGAACTAACACAATTTGATTATCAAAACATTTGTAAGACAGTAATGATTATAGAGGATTGTCTTTTCTGCTTGATTAATTCAAGAAAGAAAGTTCATCAGATGGTTCAGACTTATTCAGATCAATGAAAATAACAGTCTCTGTCCATCTGGTATATTTGAGGTCATCTGGTTCACTACATTTGCCTGGTTAAATAAAGGTTAATAATAATAGTAATAATAATAATAAAGCATATTTAGCTTTAATTTGTCTATTGAAGAAGACTTGGCACAAATTAGAGAACATCAGAAAAATTCTTACAAATCTAATGAATGAAGTGAGAATGAAACATCCTGTTAAACTGTTGCAGCTTTATTCCACTTTGTCGTTGTGTGTGAAAAGCAAATGAACAGTTCCAATTAGAAATGTGCTGCAGCTCCTGCTGCAGTTTTTACAACTCAAAATATCAGAAGAAACCAAACGGACTCAATAAAATGATCTGAAATTCAGTTTATTAGAACATGAACTAAATGACGTCACAGATAAAAACCAAGCAGAACCACGGTATTTTCGTCTGACGACAATATGTATTTACTAAGTTATGGTCTAAACACACCAATTTTCTGCTTGTTGCTAAGTTTGTTTGCTCCAGTTTTAGCTATTTTAATTTTGTAGTGGTTGTGAGACAATTGAAAGATGCGCACAAAAGATCTCTGACCTTTTGCCATGATTGCACATCAGACTTTCACACAAAGAGGCCGTTTATTACTCCAGTAACACATTTGTCCTCGTTCTGAGGTTACATAAAACTCATCCAGTACACAGTCAGATGTTCAACAGTATTTGTGGATTTGCAGGTCCTTCACGAGCCTTTGATAGATGAGGACCCCGTGTTTATCACCACCTGTACAGAAAGAGAGCTGAGGAAGAGGAAGAAGAGGAAGTTCAGCCTCTGGGTTCGACAGTGCTCCTCCACAGGATTCATCTGCCAGGTAGATGCACACACGGAAAGAGGGGACACATCAGTTAGGAATAAAAATGTAATCATTTCAGGAAGGAGTTAAGAATTGATGTGTATCTGCTTTAAGTCTATTTTAATTTTCTGCTTTGAAAATAAGTGGGGGGCAGCACGGTGGCACAGTTAGTTGGTAGAGCTGCCACCAGTGACCCCCGTGGCCCAAAAAGGAAGAAGCGCGTAAAGATAATGGATGGATGGAAAACAAATGGTTAAAAAAAAATCATTAAATATGATTTTTTTTTATTCTGCCTGAAGCCAAAAGAAAAAAAAAAAACTTTTGTGAAAACATCAGAGGCTTTGATCTACAACCAGTTTCTAATCCAACTTTCATCTTGTTCATGTTGCATCAGTCTCACACAAAGTGGGATTTATGGGTGCAAAGTTGCAAAATTCATTTTTAGAATTTGATCATATTCATCTTGAAAACCAGCCACTAGAGAGCACAAGCCAGTGTATTTCTTGTGTCTTGTGCCAGTCCCAAACCTGGGTAAATGGTGAGAGTTGTGTCAGGAAAGGCTTCTGACGTAAAACATCACTTTTGCCAAAACTATACTCATCAAAGCGAAACCATACCATATTGGTTGCGGCCCGGATTAACAATAACCGCTACTGGTGCTATTGACAAACAGTGTGCCGGCAGAAATTGTGCTAGACCACGAGGAAGGCAACATGTCAGGAGACAGAGGGAGAAGAGGAAAGTTAAGAATGTAGGACTGAGGGTTGCAACTCTAAATGTGGGGACAATGACAGGCAAAGGTAGAGAGCTGGCTGGCATGATGCAGAGAAGGAAGGTAGATGTTTTATGTGTCCAAGAGACCAAGTGGAAGGGCATCAAGGCTTGCAGCATTAGAGCAGGGTTTAAACAGTTTTACCATGGTATGAATAGAAGGAGAAATGGAGTAGGAGTGGTCCTGAAGGAGGAGTTGGCGAAGAATGTAGTAGAGGTGAAAAGAGTGTCAGATAGGGTGATGTGCCTGAAGGTAGAAGTAGAAGGTCTGATACTAAATGTTGTCAGTGGTTATGCTCCACAGGTTGGATGTGATGTAGAGGAGAAAGATCAATTGTGGAAGGATCTGGATGAAGTGATAGAGAGTATTCCCAGGGAGAAGAGAGTGGTGACCAGAGCAGACCTGAATGGACATGTTGGTGAAGGAAATGGAAGGGATGAGGAAGTGATGGGTAGGTTTGCTGCCAAGGAAAGAAATGAGGATGGTTTCATGCCAAGAAAGAGCACCACAGACGCCATCTTTGCTTTGAGAATGCTGAGATTATAGAGAGGGTCAGAAAGGACTTTATTGTGTCCTTGTGGATTTAGAAAAAGCATATGACAGGGTGCCGAGGGAGGAGGTGTGGTATTGCATAAGGAAATCTGGAGTGGCAGATAAGTATGTTAAACTGGTACAGGACATGTATGAGGACAGCAGGACAGTGGTGAGATGTGCTGTAGGAGTGACAGATAGCGTTAAGGTGGAGGGGGATTGCATCAAGGATCAGCTCTGAGCCCCTTCTTGTTTGCTCTGGTGATGGACCAACTAACAGATGAGGTCAGGCAGGAACCCCCATGGTCTGATGTTTGCAAATGACATTGTGATCTGTGGTGAGAACAGGGAACAGGTTGAAGAGAACGTGGAGAGGTGGAGGTATGCACTTGAAAGAAGAAGAATGAAAGTCAGCCGTACTAAGACAGAATACATGTATGTGAATGAGAAGGAGGTTGGTTGAACAGTGAGGCTACAAGGAGCAGAGGTCCCAAAGGTGCAGGACTTCAAGTACTTGGGGTCCACTGTCCAGGAAAATGGAGAGTGTGTCAAAGAGGTGAAAAAGAGAGTCCAGGCAGGATGGAGTGGATGGAGAAAAGTTTCAGGAATGATTTGCGACAATAGGGTCTCAGCGAAGGGACAGTGGGTACCCAACATTTTTCAGTCAGGTCATCTGGACAGTTTCTTTTTTTGTGCAGAAACATTTCGCCTTCAATCCGAAAGGCTTCATCAGTCAAGGAAACACACAACACAAAACTGATTCTTCCCCCAACAGCTTACTCCAAAGTGGAACAAACCAGTTATGTTGGTGCTAAGATGGTCTCTTTGTCACGCCCCCAAGGGGCAGATGGAAAAATATTGGATTTTATTCCTGGATTATTGCGCATGGACTTTGTTGACAGTGGGTACCATTTATTGGTAAGAAGGATGTTAGAAATTTAGCTGCCAGGAAAAAGACAAAGAGGAGATATATGGATGCAGCTGAGAGAGGACATGGAGGTAGTTGGAGTGAGAACAGAGGATGCAGAAGACAGAGTGAGATGGAAGAGGATGATTCACTCACTGTGCTGATCTCTAAAGAGGGGAAAGCTGAAAGAAGAAGAAGATCATATTCGTCTTGAACTCGAGAAATGTCTTCTGGTTGTCCGATTTGTCTTTAGATGTTTTAGTGTAAATTATATACCGGTGGGTAAGATCTGTGTTGCCAGATCTCAAAGCAGAGCTGCTCTGCTGACGAACAACCTTACCCTGAATCTAACCTGCAACTCCCACACTTGTTTCTTATGCAGCATCAAATGCATGTCTATCAGCTGCAGATTAGAACTACAAGAAGACTCGTACACCTCTCCCATTTTCAAATACTGCACTCTTTACTCAAGATGGCGTCTCACAAATAACTATTTTCAAGGTTTTTTATTATGTGATTTTTAAGTGTTTTTGTTCTTTTAAAATACATTTTGTTAAAGGTTTTGTCTTTAAACATGTAGTGGATATTGTGCAAGTGTTTTATTCAGCCCACACACACAGAAAGGCCAGCACCAAATGAGATTTTGATCTCGGTGGGGTTTTAAATCTGGTTAAATAAAGGAAATGAAACATTATCAACACTGTTTTTTTTAGTATTTCTGTCAAAAAGCATTTGTCTCAGAGGTAAGAATGTTGCCTCGGACTTCTGCTTAAAATAACAGAAAGGAATGGATTTAAAAATTAAATAAAATATCCAATATCAACCTGTTCTTTCAATGAAACAGTGTCCTAGATAGTTCAAGTACAAGGTGTGTTTTTAATGTGTCTGTTTTATGGTGGTATTATTGATGTTTTCATCATTCTCATTTTTAAAAATTAAGCTAGCACTATCTTATTGGTTTCAACACTTGGTATCCTCAGACTTTTTAAGCTTTTGTGGTTTATTCAGTCAAACTCATTAATGTGGGACGGACCCTAATGACATGCTGGTGAAGATTCTCAGTCATCTAGGACATGACAAATTCAAAAAACGTTCAATACAGAAACAACTGGACTTTATTTAAAGGACCCTGACAGCTTTATGTAGAAATCCCACTATACACATACAAATATTATACTAATAATTGTAATAATTCTCTAAATTGCGAAAGACGAAGCTTTTTCTTAGTTTACACATTTCCCAGGAGAAATTGAAGTCGGCCTGTCTCGAGGCCAGCCGGGGAGACAGATTCAGATAATCCACAATTGTTGGCTTATTCAGGCAGACTGTCAGCCTTTGAGTCTGTACTGATAACTTCCAAGGTCCGAAATGGCCAAATTAGGGTGCATTCTGCTGGTCCGTGCTTACGAGCTTCTTCAAGGTTGTTTCCATGCTGACGAGTCCCAAAGCCGCAGGTGGCCTGCGATTCAAATCACTTCCAACTAATGGTTTCGCTTGTAAATCAGCTGATTTTGAGTCCTCAAAGCACGAACCAGACATAGACAGCAGCCTGACGAGGTCCAAATGAGCTGTGACCATCTTCTTTGTATGTTGATAAACCAGGATAAACCAACCCGCTAATATATGTGTGTATGTATATGTATATCAATTGGTACTGGGCCGCACAGAAGAGGAAAAATTAAAATAAAATTGTAAAATACACTAGGGATGCACGATATTGGATTTTTGGCCGATATCCGATATGTTAAAACTTATTTGACCGATACTTTCTTTTGCCAGAACAGAGCCCTCTTATTTAGGCTTATTTGCTATAAAATTGTGTAAGAGCTGGTGACATATATTCAGTAATAGCCATATGATATGCATAGCACTTTAACTTAATTTAAATGAAAAGTGTTAAATATTATTTATTAGCATTAGTCACCTGTGATGCTGTCTCACTTGTGGAGGCTTGTTCCGGGTTCCTAGCTGCAGTGTGGGATCCTCTGCACTCGTGTGCATGAAGGACAGACTTTTTAAGTTCAAAGTTTTTGTCTATCCATTGTGCCGTAAGACTAACGGGGCTAACACTTGACATCTAACTGTCTGTGGTAAAACTCACCCAACAAGTCATGCTATCGGCTATTAGCTTCTCAATGACGTCGGTAATGACGGCTTGTAACTTGGGTAAGATTATGTCGGAGAAATATCTCCGACTGGGGACGATGCAGTGAGGTTCATCGTAGTCCATAATTCTTCAGAATCTGACATCCTCACCACGAAAAAAACCTTCCACACCGCCGACATTTTGAATTTTCCTGTCCGCTGTGATCAGATCAGGTAGACATGCGTGACGTCATCACATTGCGTTTCCGCTGCAGACATCCTTGTCACTGGGTTGTCATACAAAAACAGCGTCTTTTATATCGGTGAGTTATTTTGATGGAATGGCCGATGTCCGATATTGAACTTTAACATTAATACCGGCCGATACCGACACCATGCCGATAATATTGTGCATCCCTTAAATACACCAGAATGTAGGAAATGGCATTTACTTTATTCAAAATTCTCGGGGGGGAGACCCCAACACACCCCTCCCTGACCCGCCCACTATTTGCATTCCAGCATCTTTGGTTTACAAGTTTAGCCCTGACAGGTGATTTGGTCACGGGAACAGGTGTGAAAAGGCAGATGGGTGAGATGTTACGAGGACGCTGCTAATAAAGTTGCATACACAGTGGATTCGCGTTTATTATATTTAGAAAATACCAGTTTTTATGCCGGGCATATTATTTTATTGTTGCATTTATCCACCGCACTTTAAAGACCGGTCCGTGAAAATATTGTCTGACATTAAACCGGTCCGTGGCGTAAAAAAAGTTGGGGACCGCTGATGTAGCGTCTGTTCAGTTTATCAGGTCATACTGACCTCCTGCTCCAACAAGCCTTGTTCCCTTACACTGATGAGCTTTGTCAGGGAGAGACCTCAACATCTTCTGGTTTTAGATATTTTCATTCAGATTTAAAAAAAAAAAAACGCTCTATGAATATCCAACAGAGGTAAAAGCGCCAGGATTACCAGGATTGACTGGACATCCAGCAACTTTCACGTGTTTCCAAATAGATCTTTATGTGTTGTGATGACAGGAAAATGATTCTGTTTCAAACACAAGAGGTAAAACTTGAGTACATATATAATCTACGAGATGGAAACTTACTCAGACAGAGAGAAAACAACAGAAGAGGAGCACAGGAGGAGAAGCTGAAACAGGAGTCACAGCTTCAGACATCAGAACCTGTTTCTGACACTTTAAAAACCGTAGCATCGCAAATACAAGCTTTACTGTATCTCTGGCCTTTTAACTGAACTAACATTTCAGTACAAGGACAAATGTAGGCAGATGTGGAGCAATTAGAGAAGAACAAGATTACGTTATAAATTTAGACCTTTTTACTGCATAAAACCTATAAGATTGAATGAAGACACTCTACAGGAGGAGAGTTCCTTTTTATAACCTGGAAGCAAACCAAAACTGCATTAGTGGGGAGAACAAAAGATGAGCAGAATATTAATTCATCCAGTTCCTTTTTCTTGTAGTAATCTTTAGAAAATAAATCGATTAATTTGTTCTTGCACATTATTTCTTGTACTTGCACATCACATATTTAAAACAAGCGATAATGAACAAAAACCATGACGTACTTTGTCATTAAAAGCCGCACTCCATTATTGCGTCAGTTTACCAAGAGAATTTTAAAAAAAGCATTTGACTGCAGCCATTTGGTAACGCCTGTCTTTACCCGGCTGCTGTTGTCCAACTCATGTCTCCGCTGACATCGTCTGCCTAAATGAATTGTGTAAAGGGAAAGAAAAGGGTGGGGGAAAGTCAGAAATAAAATGAGTTAGTAGAACAAATCAATGAGTTTCCATTAGCCAATGGGCACACAAACGTGTGTAAACACAAACACTCTCCCAGATGCATGAACTTGCCATTAAGACTAATTGCTGCAGGGCAAGTGTGGATGCAGGCTAATGCTGTTTAACTCTGCAGAAAGTGCAAAAGTTGCATAGTGGAACTGTTTGTACACTTTATTGTACCATGCCTGATTATAGCTTCTGTTGAAACACAATCACTGCTTTGTGTTGCTTTTAAGATTTAACAGCAAAACGTGTGAAGCAGCACATTTCAGCACGCTCTGATCCAGACAAACTGTGAATGTTCACAGCTCCTGGTGGGGATGCAGATTCAGAGACATGATATATAATTTTTTTTCTATTGACTCTTCAAAATGTCATAATAAAACAATTAAACTTGTTGATGTACAAAGATATTTTCACCACGTGGTTTCTCTTGTGTAGAGATGCCATTTTTGTGCACCCAACATCAGCGTCGAGGTAATAGTGTGAATGCTGATTCAGCCGTTTTTTTTCCTTTTATTTATTTTTTTATTTATTTATTTGCAATTTAACTAATAGTACTTCTGCATAATTTGAGCTAGTTTAGTTGTTCATAGTATAGCCATACGTTCAGCTCATTCAGGAGGTATGAATTGTTTTTTGTAACTTTTTTACTTTTTAAAGATGTTTATTCATTTTAACAATTTTTTTTTTATTTACATTTATTTAAAAAAAAAACATTGTTCCTTTGGACAACTGCTTCAGCAGACTTGCTTTATTTCTGTTTTCTAATTTGTTTAGTCTTTTAGCTAAGCTTTCGCTCCTTTTTAGTTCACCTTTTCTTGTTTTAAGCTAGCAGTTTGCTAAATTTAGCTTCCAGCTTTAAATAAGTTTAGCTTCTAGCTAGCCATTTGTTACTTTTATCTTTAAGCTAACCTTTTGCTCTTATCTTTTTCACTTTATTTTGCCAATGTCACATAACAGAAATCACAAAATGACACATACCAAGGTCTCCGTATGGCATCGGGGGGGGGAAAAAATATATATATATATATATATATAATATATATATATATACACCTTACTCTCCGCTGTACACGTTGTACCACCGTATGTCTCATCAGTCCAAATAAGTTTAATAAAGTGGAAAAAACAAATACGTCGCCTCACCATATAAGTCACATCTATTATGCGTCACCACTGATGCGTTTCTTACGCGTCACCGCTGACAACCCGAAAACATGGGCCGGTGTTGTGCCAAAAATCGAGTGGCTGCCAAATGGCGGCAGCAGGAGCATGCACGGGAGGACTTTCACAAGAATTTAGCAAGATTAGCACTTAAAAACAATTATTTGTTTGCTCGAAATTGTAGCAAAAGTGTGTCTCAGTCTAACTTTTCCTTAATAAATGCAGTTTGCACTTTAATGGTCAAATCAGCTGAATTTCAAAAGACAATTCGCGGAGGCATGCAGAGTGAGGACTCGCTGTGCATTTCTTCGAAATTTAACAAGAAAACCACCTAAAAACAATTATTTGTTTGCTTGAAATTATAGTAAAGGTGTGTCTCAGTTGAACTTTTCCTTAATAAATGCACTTTAATGGTCAAATCAGCTGCATTTCGCCGCACCGGCCAGGCGAAATGCAGCTGATTTCACGTTTGTTGCAGGGGTTCTGGAGCGAGACAAAGATGGCTTGTTATGGCAAGCCATGTGTCTCGTTAATAGCCAGTTTTACCTATTAATGAGACACTTGGCTTACCATATTAGTCGAGGGCACTCTAGTGGCTGAAAATGGTAGTGTTCAATATTTTCCATGTCAGAATGTATGAAATAATCAAACCTTGGCCAAAAATTGGGTTATAAATATGGGATAAAAACATAAATATGTATATATATATATATATGTAAGCATTTGTAAAAGCCACCACTGAGCCCACTTAAAAGAAAGAATCAGAGAGCACCAAGTTGTGGAATCAGGCCAGCTGCATCTCGATTTACACCCTCTTTAATCTCGACCGTGGAGGAGATATATGTGACCCAAAAGAATCGCAGCATCTGTATGAAATGTGTCACATTCAATGTGCTATTGGAACCAAACTGATATTTTATTACCCAATGTGCATATTACTATAAAATGCTTGTATTTATGAGCCCAAGTGGGCTGTGATTTCAGCCAGTAATTTGCTTTTTTAAATGCGACGGCTTTGATTGTGAGGGTTTCTACCAAGGAAGATGATAAAGTGATACTTTAGCTAGAACTGCAGTAATGTTTGCTGTTTTCTTTACCTGTTCTACTCCTGTCTCTGCAGGTGTCTGTGCATCTAAAGGAGGGACAGGGCACAGATAGTCTGGCCACCTTGAAGAATAAACCTCAGCTCCACAGCCTCGTGGCCAAGCAGCTTTGTCAGAACGTCTCCGGCAAGAACACCATCATCTTCACTGGACCGTCCATCACGAGCCTCGGCCTCTTCACTGAATTCAGCAAACAAGGTGCACAAACAGGCTGTAGCATCTCATCGTGATCAGACACCATCATGCTGCAGCTCTTGTTTTGTTCTTTCACTTTCATTTTGTGCTTTGACGCACAGATTGTAATCAGACTCCTCATCTTATCACCCCTTTTTTAACATTTTTTTTATTACTTTTTAAGTGCAAAGTAAAATCAAGTATTTTTTTCTTTCCGGTTCAGAAAAGCTGTTTAGCCTCTAGCTAATATTCCTTTTCAGTCCAAATCAGTTTTTTAAAGGTTACATTATCAAGTAGCGTTTTCTGAGGAGTTTTTATCAGCTTTCTTCCCAAACAGAAGTTGCCAGTGAGCTGAGCAGAATTTGTTGCTGCAGCGTCAAAAATCTGAAGCAGAGGGAGAAAAGGGCTGCATCTGACCTGGATTGATGCTGGAATCAGATAAAAAGCCAACCAAGACAGGACACTTTGTACAGAAGAGCCAGATTCACAGAATCAAGTCCTAAATGCTTTTTTGTGTGTGAGAGAGGTTTATAACTGAGTAAATGGGCGCAGAGTGTCAATGAGTGACAAATGCTGTGTCACCTTTCAAAAGTGTCAAGGAAAACAAGCTTTACTGCTTCCTTACCAAATAGAAACATCCTTTAAAATAATCAAATTAACTATTCCATCACATAATACTTTGTAGCTGCAGCTGTCATTGTGATGTTTAGTGGTATTATTTTTGAATTAACAACAAAGTGTTATGGCTTAATCTTTACCTTTTTTGAAAATCAACAACTTTCAGAGTGAATAAAATCATTTTAATTTGAACCATATTTTACTATAAAGTCTTACTTAAACAACACAGTAATGGATTAGTAAAGTAGTTGATGGTAGTTTCAATGCTACAGTGAAAAACTATCAGATTCTTGTTTCGCTTTTCTCAAATTGTCTCTTTTCGCTTGTGCATTTAAAACATCCTTCTCTTGTTTTTTTTGTTTTTTTTTAATAAACTAAACTAGAAACTCCATGGGAGCTTCAGTACAAGTAAAAAAAAAAAAAGGCCAGAGGAAAATTTAAAAACTAAAATTAATTTTGATTAATTAAAACTATCAGCCACTCCACTCTGCTGAAAGAACGAACATGTGAAGGCATTGTCCAACAAATTCCTTTCCTGCAGAGATAATTAGCAGAGTTAATCACCCTGCATTCTTCTAAAGTGATGACTGTGGACACACACTTATTAACAATGTAGAAGGAACAAATTAGCTCAGCTACATGACTGGTTTTGGCCCATTTGAGTAAAATAAAGGAAGGGGTGGAATCATTTTGAGAAATACCGTTACTAGAGAAATTTAATTTACTGTGAAAATGCAGTGTGAATGCTTATTGCTGAAGAAATTGTAAAAAAAAAAAAAAAAAGTCTGAAATTAACTAAAAAAAAAACATGCTGAAGTGGAAGAACAAGCCTAATTTAGCAGAAGAAAGCATAAAGAGCACATATTTGCCGAAATAGATTTAAATAAGAAGAAATTAGCATAAAAATAAGCAAAATAGCTTAAAAAAAGGCTGAAATTGCCAAGAAAATGGCTGAAAAATATCTGAAAGGCAAATTGAAAGGAATTCAAGAAGGAATTGAAAAAAAGCTGAAATGGGGGGAAAAAAATGGAATTGGGTGAAAAAGCTAAAATTAGCACAAAAACAACTGAAATATCAGAAATGGCTGAAACTAGCATAATTAAGCAGAAAGGAGTATAACAAACTAAAATTTGCAGAAATAAGTTAATTAGACTGAAAGTCGTAGAGATTACCGTGAAAAACTTGAATTTATCTGAGAACAGCTGAAATTAGCTAAAAATGCTAAAAAGGTAGCTGAAAAGGTAGAACAAGCTTAAGTTAGCAGAATAAAGTAAAGAAGCAGAAATGAGTACAAAAAGTGGAAATTATCTGAAAAAAGCTGAAATTAGAAAAAAAAAAACAGCTGAAAAGTAGCTAAAAAGCATAAAGAAGCTTAAATTACCAGAAGGAAATGGAGAGAGACCATTTTTGATGAATTAGGTAGAAAAAAGTTTAAATTTGTGCAAAAAATGTGGAATTGGCTGAAAAAAACAAAATTTGCATAAAACTGCTAAATAGTAGCTGAAATAGTAGAAAAAGCTTAAATTTGCAGAAAGAACCTGAAAAGAGCACAACACAGCTTAAACAAACCCAGCTGAAGCTGAAAATAGCTGAAAAAAGTTTAAATTTTCTCAAGGCAGCTGAAAGAAGCTGAACCAGAACAAAATATGAAAGGAGCAGTAAAAGGTTTTAAACAGATCTAAAGATTTTGAAGGAGGTAAAATGAGCTCAATTCATTTTCTATGAGGAAAAAAGTGGCAGAAAAGACTAATAAATATTTCAAAAAGCTAAAGTTGCACCAACACCAAAAGTCATAGTGGGATTGTCCTGAAAGAGTTGAACGTTTTGAGAATACACCCACATATTTGAGATTTGAGCATGGACTTTGTTATTTTGAGATATGATTTGTTGAAATAGATTGAAAACTGCGGGACGAGAATCACGTCGAAAAACGTACAGAAGAACAATGGATCACAATAGTGTTAATGCTTCATAAACATTCACACAATTAATAAATAAACTAAGTTTTCTCTTCTATATTTGTCCTAACAAGGGAGAGAAACTGATTGTTCACTGGTTGATAATTGTTTCGTAAAATTATTAACTAAATGGAGGTGCTCAAAGAAATGTTTTGTTTACGTTTAAATCTAATGTGACAAAATGGCCAGAAAATCATCCAGTTATCCAATTTGTTGGAAGTGGTTTTGTTTTTTTCTAGCGATAAAGAGATCAGTCCTTCCACTGAGCAATATCTGATTATCTGCACGTTTCAGAGGAGCATGTTTTAGTGTTTTCTCCCTCCGTCCCCACTCCAGATATCTTCTGCTGCGGTTTGCTGAGCACCAGGAAGAGCGACTGCACAGGCTTACCACAAAGCATGCTGGTCTGCAGCTCCACGCCAGCGCAGCGGGGCCAGTCCCGCGTCATGATGAAAGGCAGCATGTCCCTGATCAGCTGGTACAACAAGGGACACTTCAGGTTCCTCACAAACGCTTACTCCCCAACAAAACAAGGTGCGTACAGGAAATGGCACACCCCAAGTTATCTTTACACAACATTATGTTTGTTTTGCTTTTATATTAAATTTGATAAAGCTGTAAAGAGATTCAGATGTATTCTTACCCATACAATATGCATCATTGCATAAAAGGTAATATACAAAGACTTTAAACTTCCTTCTATAATAGTAAATGCATAGTTGTAAAAAGGCTTTACTGTGATTTTTGGATGAAACTACCAATGAGAGAAATTGGCAAATCATCAAATGTTCCTGTCAGTGAGAATCAATGAGAACTTCTAATCCACATTAATCTGTTTCCAGGAGAGAGGACAGGATCATGATACTGCAACCTCATCTTTGTTTGCCTAATCCACTCTTGATTAAACAGTTTTGTGCAGCTTTAAACTTAGCCATCGATTGCAGTGTGTATCTGTTTTCTGATGGAGGAGTGAGGAGGTGATGTCTCACATCTGGTAATTTGTTACTGCCCAGCAGTGGTTTGTCAATCCTTCTGAATCTGAGCATTACGAACAAAGTTTCTTCCAAACCTGATCTTTTCTTTTCCAGTCAGCTTACAGTACAATGTATCACAATTCATTAGATGGTTAAAAGAATGAAGGAGCTATCACCCGCCACCATTCGTACTAGAGTTTGAGACTAAAGTTCCATTACACTGAGAGATAACAAAGTTGAAGCTGTCTTAGTCAAACGTCCATCAGTTGTAGATTTATATCCACTTGTTAATTTCTGAAATTAGTAATGCAGTCCATCCAGTAGTTCATGAGATATTTTGCTGACAAACAGTGTTACTCCAACAGTTACACTAA